GATTCCATTGCAGACATGGCAGATGTTCTGATAATAGTTCATTGCAGGAATTGTTTTTAAAAAATTCTTTTTAAAAAGGAAGGAAAACAGTTGAGTCAATGAAAAACATTTCCAAATTTCCAAATATAACCTACTGGGACTATGATAAACACATATAGAGATTAATCGGACTAGTACTAGGCTAAAGCTGCCATAACAAAGTTAATGGTTTAGCAAAAACAACAAAAAACGTACTATCAAGAAACAGTTAATTAGCAATAATTATTTAAAAAAGATATGTTTAAAAATGGACAAGCTCAAAGATAATAAAACAAAAGTACATACATAATATAATTTAGATCAGATGTAATGACAAGGCTTTGATCTTTATTCTCTGTTTCCGAATCAAGATTCAACAGAATTTAACACGCCTTTATTCCGTATGGAACACCTGCCTGGATAGGTCACACACCAATCCTCGCCATGTCATGTTCACCGAGTAGAGCCAATATTTTGCAGATTAACATCCACACGAACTGTCCATGTTTCCCTGGCTCTAGAATACATGAACTGTGTCATGTAGAATTCAATGTAATATTGACTCAGTAATTGCCAGATATCAAATGGACAGTACAAATGTAGTGGTTACATGGACAGTTACAAACAATAGGTCAGAAATTTCCAAAATATCTGACAATCAAAAATATATTCTGTAACATCATCAAGTAACAATTTATTATTTAGTTAAGTCAATTTGAACAACAATAAACAGTTTATAACAGAGCCAATCTATTGGGATTTTGCATCATCTATCACAACACCTGTTGCATCAGTAAATAAAGCATCCAACCAACATTAGATTGGCTGTTAATTGACCAAATGATTTGGGAGACTGAATATTTTTATGGCACAATATTAAACAAATGTGCAATACACACAAATCAATTAAATATGTTAATCACAGTTACATTTTCGGAACTAATATACCGAGCTGAAACACTAACAGTTCTGTAAACACGATACATATTAGTCTCATCTTATTCTCAGTACAAACCTTTAGGAGACAACTATAACGAAATCAGTTTCAAGTCCAGACCTAGTAATGGGAAGGAGCCCATTTGGCATCCTGATACATTCATGTATATATTTTTCTTGCAGTCAAAACTTACTGATAGTCACTTAGTCGTAGGCTTACTTAACGTTACAATCAGTCGTATGCTTTCTGAAATTCATTAACTTACTAAATGTAGCTTAGCTGCAGGCTTGCTGAATTAATATACAGTTGTGGTAACGCACAAAGCACCAGAAATTAAAAACAAACTTCGTGCGCAAACCATGCATACATAGTGAGCACATCATCCACCCACTTTACAGCATCTAGCGCAAAGCAGAGCGATAGAATCGTCCATTTTGTGCGATTTGATAAAAAAAAAATGGCTGGCTAGTATTAAGGATTGAAAATCAAACAGAATTCTGACTAAATACCAATCACAGACGTATTTAAATCCATAGTTTATTATAAAAGTCTGTTTTCAAAATAACTAGGCTCTGCATTTATTATCTTGCTATCATACAGTTTCACACCTCAAAGAATGGCGAGTGGTGTGCCATGTGCAACAAAAAATACCTGTATGCGAGTATATTCTGTGTAACAAACATAACACTTTATATATATATATATATATGTAAGAGTATATATGTTTGTCTAAAAATGATGAGTAATACAGGCGTAATGAAAATAAAATTTTCTTTCTGACGGTATGAGTTTTTAGATGATTCATTGCCGAGACAAAAAGAGGTGTCCATTTCATGTTTACATATATAATGTATATATAATGAGTGTCTGTACACTAAGGCTGGTCACGTGTGGCACTTTGTACAATAAACACTTTGAATTACGAGAGTATATGACTATTAAGTCCGTATCTGATAGATCTACATGGACCTGCCCTAAAATTTATATCTTAATTAGGAAATATATTTAGTTCTATTCGTATATGTTTAGAAAATAAATAATCCTTATCCCATACTTTTCTGTAAGTCATTTCTACCATTATATCAACCACGACAGAATCGCACATACGTGCTATAGAACTACACGACACAGATGTGCGATAGCTTATTTCGTCCAGTTTTCCTGTCGTGCAGCCATCGTGCACACATTGTGTAACGTTGTGCGATCCCACAACTGTAGTTTTATTCCTTTCTGACAGATATCCGTCTGCACACAATTCGTACTGGCAAACGTAAGTGCGCATCTCTTATATGAAAAATGTAAGAATAAGCCCACTTATTGACAAACAAATGTACGCGTCACTTTTATACAAACGTAAGTGCACGTCTGACAGACATATGTAAGTGCACATATCTTACAGACATATGTAACTGCACATCTCTTACAGACATGTGTAAGTGCACATATCTAACAGACATATGTAAGTGCACATATCTTAGACATATATAAGTGCACGTCTTACAGACACATTAATGCACACTTTCTAGATATATGTACGTACTCATGCCTTACAGACGCGTGCAAGTACACATGTCTTACAGACAAATGTAAGTACACGTTTCAGAGACAAACATGAATGGACACATCTTGTAGAATCTTTTAACATATAACACGTCAAAAAATGTTTAATCTTTGATAACTTAAGTATCTGTATATGACTAGACCGAAAAGTTAGACTTGTGTGCACAACGAGCCCTGTAACTCATATTCCATGAACAGCTGGATATAAACTCACACTATTCCATACATAAACAGACAAGCAGTTAACTTTTCAGTATAATCAACCTCAGACTTTTCTGTACAACCAGGCCAACAATTAATTTTTTCATACAACCAGGCTTCTCATCTCGCATAATTTTTGTACAACCAGGCCTGTAGCTTCGACGCTTCTGTACAATCAGGCATGCAGCCTCGCATTATTCTGTTTAACAAGGCCCGTAGCTCAGGCTTTTCAGTACAGTGATGTCTGTTAACCTTGGACTACAACGCACATTCAGACATTCCTATCATTTTCTGTCGAACAACGTTGATCTAATTCCTATCATCGTCTTTCGAACAATGTTGATCCAATTCATATCATCCATTTTTGAACAATGTTGATCCAGTTCTATCATCGTCTTTCGAACAACGTTGATCCAACTCCTATCATCGTCTTTCGAACAATGTTGATCCCATTCCTATCATCGTCTTTCGAACAATGTTGATGGCATTCCTATCATTGTCTTTCGAACAATGTTGATGGCATTCCTATCATTGTCTTTCGAACAATGTTGATCGCATTCCTATCATTGTCTTTCGAACAATGTTGATCGCATTCCTATCATTGTTTCCTGAACAATGTTTGTCCAAAGCCTATTGCTTTTAATTGAACAACGTTGATCACATTCCTATCGTTGCCTTTTGGAAATTTTGATTTTAACCCATCGTAACAAATGACGACTCCAGAGCCAAAGTTGAAATGTTTCAATCTCAAGAAAAAAAGATCACAACTCCAATGCCCTATATGGAAGTTTCAATATCTAAAAGCGAACAATACAATGGTCAATCCATTCCAATGATTGATCTTTAGCCTTCCAACAAACACTTTGTATCACACCTAGCACTCTTAAGGATAGTAAATAACAGACGGTAAATGTTGCATGCTGTTTTTAGTGACTTCAAATTATTGATAATCAGAAAATTATAAAAAAAGAAAAACTATTGTCAATGTTCCAGAGATGGATATTCAATTAATTTAAAATGAAACCCAAAGCAATTAATTTAAAACGAAACCCAAAATATATATTGGATTAGATTAAAAGTATTTTTTCGGAACTCTTGACAGAAAATAAAAGTACAACAAATTAAAGTAATCCTTTCAATTGCTTCTGCCTTATATTTACAGTCACTTAATGTGTACAGCTATGTCAGAATATCCAAAACACTATCGCCTGTTTTTCTTTCATGTATGAAAAAGATAAATATTCTGACGCAATTTCTGTCCTCAAATTACTTTCATTGTTCTAACGAAATTTGAAAATGTATTTTTAAGAAAATGAACGATAATCAGTAATTTTAATGAACTTGTGTACTACATGTACGTAAAGTCAATTTTTTGTGCGTGAAAACGAACGGCTTTGTTGTCACCAGAACACAGAGAATCAGCCGAAACTGGCAGAGGATTCATATGACTTCTATGGTTGTACAACTGTCATCCATATTTGCATAATATCTAATTGTATTACAAAACATTATGAATTAACATAAAATCATTCATATCCAGTTTTTTTTTAAACATGGTGGTTACATCAGAACATGGAAGCCATGTATCATGTTTTCTGTTACATCATTATATCTATGAACAGCAGAAACTGGCATTCATTTAGAGATATTTAAGTTGATTAAAACGCTAAAAAACACCTATAACAATAGCAAGGTTCTATCAATTCCCTTCAGAAAGTCATCGAGCTGTTAAAAGAGGAAACTTGGTTTTCACATGTTTGAAACTGAAATCCAACATTTATATTAAGACTATGGACATTCGCCTACATCTACCTGTTGTCAATGATTTTACTGTACTATAAAGATTGTTGAATACATAGAAGTTGAAAGCTTCGAATTAATCATTACACAAACAAATCCCGTACGTTATATACAAAAGTAAAATGGAGTTTTAAAGCTTTCATCAAATTCGTCTTCATCTGTGCAATTTTATATGCAATACAATTGGCAATCAAATCTTTGTTAATTTAAAAAAAACTAAAGCACGAGACTGATTATTGCCTGTAACTGTTGCCTTTGAGGCATTTCAACATCTGTAGGTGTCAACACACTTGAAGAAACATGCTTATTTGTAACGTTAAGAGTAACATTATTTGTGCGATGAAACAAACACATAATATAAAAAAAGGAAGAAAACAAAATCAGGCTGAGATCCTGTCCATAAAACAAACTGATCACAGTAGAAGCTGCAGATCTTTTAACCAAAAGGTCAAAGGTCACCGTAGAGGTCACATTGTATGCAGGCAGCAGTGACGGACAGGATCCACGAAGCAACCAAAACTGACAATCAACATTCTGTATCCATGGTAACACAGTATACAATGTGTGTACATCGTGTTAATAGTCTCACTCCTGTATCATTGGTCACTGTTACTGTCATCAATGATCGAGGTCGTGTCTTCTTGTCTTGCTGGTATTTTGGTGTTGTTTTCAGGTTTCACTGAGGAAGAGCTTTCACAATTGTTACTACAGTTATCAGATTGGTTTGTATCTTTTTTGTCTGATTCTTCCTGTAAAGCTGCCAATCTTTTCCTTTCCTCTGCATCTGAATAACGATTTATTGAAATATCATACATACGTACATAAAATCTTCCCATACCTACCATTATATAAACCTGATTCTGGCAAAGAGGCCACACGGACTTGCTTCATTCACCTAATTTGCGATGGTTTTCACCATACATTAACATCTATTATCACTGACATAAAAGTGGGTCTAAATTATATTCCTTAATTTCAGAAACTCGTTTTTATCCACTCCATGCAAGAAATCTATCTACAATTAATTGTCCCTTTTCTGGACGACTTCAATGAATATAATCTATGAGGTAGAGAGGTTATTCTATGATGCAAAGCAACAAGAGACAATTTTGTCACCTTTTAATACAAAATATATCCTTTTCAATGCTAAAACGACATTGTTCCAATGTTATCTTTTCACAGACATTCTTTGGCTTAATCCCAGGAATCCTTCATGAATCTACGCCTTATTGTTAATCAGATTAACTCGTTAAGTATTTTAACAAACTTTGACATTAATCTTTTCCGGTGAGAATCGTAAACTAGACTGTTTTTGAGTACAAAATTAGAGAAAAGCAAACATGAACACATGAAAGATTTCATAAAAAATACACGTTTTCAAGTTTTGCTTCTTTTGTGTCCGAACAGGAAAAAAATGCAGCGATTAGGAAATCATTTTGATGATTCGTCAAAATTACAAAGATATAGATGAATACTACAAGAATATATAAACACATGATTTAAGTTTTTATTGAATTGATAAATTTCTTAATTTCACTGGGGAAAATGTAATAAAAAGTTTGATTTTTTAAAATATATTCAATGCTTTTTTTGCCATCGACATTTAAATTGGATTAAACATAAGATGTTATTTAAATGAAGGTGACATTATGAATACAAAGTACTTTGAAGATGGCAAGAAAGAAAAAATAAGAATCGTGAGTATACAATACCATTAGCTGCCCGATCTTTCCAGTGAACCTTGTTCTGTGTTAGACAGGTTGCCCATGGACATTTCAACTGATACCTGCCACCTAAAAAGAAAAGTATTTTTGCAGAAATCATTAAAAAAAAATACCAACGTGTCAACAAAATCAACATGAACAAAGGATATGTTTACACGGAGACTATTCCTGAAAAAGGACAAGAAGAAGAAGACCATGTGTTCCGAAAGAGCCCAGCACAGTCCGGATGAACAGTAGCAGGTCGGCACGACGAATTTCCCAAACCTACCCAAATCTTATCAAAATCTACCCATATGTATACATATCTTTCTCATATTTACGTAGATCTTACATACATATACCAAAATATTTTCGTATGTAATCCTGACCAGCTCTGAACATTGATGTTGTGCCTGTACCGGGCTGTTTAGGGTAGTAGCCTACTGGACAGTCCATGACGGTCACTGTCTGTTTTTATTACAGCTGGCGGGGGGTTGGAATTTTTTTTTCTTTTAGAGATGTTCTAATGTCAGGTTCTAAATAAAATCTGTGACACGGAATGAAGTACTTGTAACGTTGAAAAAAGTCGAACTGAGGTTAGTCCATGTTTGTACAGTTTGAAGTGTAAATTAGGTGTACTGTTGTGAAATCGAGAGGTATAACTGAGTGATATGTTAACAGTATATTACGATACTGTTTCACAGTCACATCGACGGGAAGAAAAGTATTTCCCTGGAGTCACCGAGAGCTGAACACAGGTGAAGGAAAGGTACGAAGCCTTCCGATTGTAGCTACCCGTAACTCTCTAAACTTCAATGTCATTTCACAACAGTACCAGCAATATAAAAGATTATATTTGTAAAACAAAAGATGGCGACACATTCTGTTAATTATGTTTGTCGAGCTTAAGGCATTTATGTCAAAGTCTTAACAGAAACTGCCAGTGCCAATATATGCATACAAGCCAAACCATCATCCTTTACAAATGATTCCCATCAAGTAATTTCCAATGGGAACAAATATTTTCAAACATCCAATTTTTCCAATCAAAACTTCAATAAAATGCACTTCCTCCCCTTGGGAAAAATATAAGAACAGGCCGAATATCTAACGGTATTCTGGTCCTTTTTGTTATGTAGAAGTCAGTTGAATGGAAACTTTACGCATTGTGGACGAAGACGGATGAAATACGGTGGCTAAAGATCATTCTAAATGTTTAGGCCGGAAGGCCTTACAACCATTTGGGAAATTTGAAGCCGAGATTTTGTCAAAAAGTTTGATAACATAATCCAACTGTGAGAATTCCGAATGTTGTTTAAAAGAAAAAACGGTTTGCCTGTCTTCTACCGTTTGAGTTGTCTCCCGTCGCCCATCCATTCAAAGTTTCAAACACGCTTGTGCAACACAGTCTTTATTCTACGATTTTACTAAGGTTGTTTTATCACTTTTGCTCTTTCTTGGGAAAAATAGTAACACTGCTAAGACATTCATATTAGAAATGAATGGGCAACGGCACCTGCCGTTTTGTAAATTTAGTTTCATTTTTAACGACACTAAGTCTTCAAGCACTAGTTTTCTTTTACGATGCATCAAATGGACAAAAGGAAAATGGTTTTGAAAAGTGTATATGACAATTAATGAATGATATCCATTGAAAATTTTATCTCCCCCCCCCCTCCCCCCGTCTTTTTTTGTTTACGAAACGATACTTGACTAATCTAGAGCTAGCTTTGTACAATGTTAAAAGTGGAAGCGAAACGACCTCGAGTACGGTTGGAATATTTACCGAAATGGACTGAAATGGAGTTGAATTTACCGAAATGGAGGAAAATGAGAGTTGTATCAATTATATTTTACTAGAATGAACCTAGAACCGTGTTCTTTAATAACATGTTGGTTTGTATGTCAAAAATAGTGGGTTAATTCCACTTAGAAACATTTTCTTAGTTATTTTTAAAGTCCCGACTCGCAGACGGACTGTCGTCCGGCTTAAATTACCGAAATGGAGGAAATCGGACCTGTAATCAATTTTTTTTTCAGGAGAGTTGACCCAGTGTAGCTTTATTTGATATCAGTTTTGGCTAGATAACATATTGAGAGATTATTTGACATTCGTCTATTTTAAATTGATTTTCCAGAAATTTCGCGATTCATGGTCGATTTTCACCGAAGCGGAATTGCCGATATGGAGATAAATTAACTTCAAATTAGCATTTTTACAGGAGAATGGACCCACTTCTGCATTCTTCGTTATTCGTGTGAGTCATATGTAGAAAAATATGAGTTTATATTAGCAGGAAGCGCAAAATATAAGTTAACAAACAATGCCATCATAAGCCATTTAAATGTGTGACACAAATGAGACTTAAAGAAGGCTATATTGGGTCCATTCTCTTCATAAAATATTGATTTCATGTCTATTACCACACCCGCCTGGCCGTGAATTGCAAATTTTTGAAAATTAGATTAAAGTACTTATTGTGAAAACAAACTTATAATTTTTACATACAAACCAACAAGTCACTAAATAGGGCAATGCCAGGTCCATTCTCTTTAAATTCTTTAAACTCATTAAAGTTCCATTTTTCTCCATTTCGGTAATTAAATTAAACAATGTTAATGGATAGATTATGGACAACACATTGTGAAATAAGACAGGCAAATAAGGGACATCAGGGTTATGAATTTAACAAATTTGACAAAACACCCTGGACATTTCCATTTACGAAGAGTTTTCGATATTGTAGTATCTCCTTCTGAAGAAAAAAAAAACGAATCTGTATTTTAGTGAATAAAAATTCTTAATACAAGGATTCGGTTTCTCCTTTGTTTAAACGGTGTTATTAACCTTTGCAGTGTTAGAACAATAACAATCTCATCTTCTGAAATTCATCAGGACAATTGTCATAGTTTAAATCAATATTACATAGTATCTATCGCTCCTATTTCTTAAATGAATAAAACGCAATGGAATATTAACATGTGAAACCAACTCAAAACTCAAACAGAACATAACTATATAAAGAATATGATAAACACCATATCCTACCATCATAAATTTCTGAAATAAAGATCACCAATACATAGCATTATAACGTGGTCCTAATCAGCTTGCATACAATATATATAAACCAGTGTGTAAGTCAGAAGATATGTAGTAAATACCTGCAGAATTCAGTAATTAAAGTGTTTCAGAATTAAATAATGGTATAAAACCTGAGATAACATTGACACTTTGTAAAATAAAAGTATAAAATGAAAAACACAACAAAAAGTTCCGACTTTCTGATATATCTAACTCTGTGATCTTCAAAATATTCGTGGTGTCAATGAAAGTTGCTGAGATCATAAAACAAGAGTGTTGACCCAACATTTAGTATAAATAGTCCGTATCTATCATCATAATACAGGTAACAGTAATTGTATTGTATAAAGATATTCTTTCGAGACCGTGTAACAGAGACTTAACCTTGGGACTAATCTGAACATAGTGTAACAGTGTTCCAACCCTAGCCCTTCAATCTGACCACAGTCTAACAGTGTTCCAACCCTAGTCCTTCAATCTGACCACAGTGTAACAGTTTTCCAACCCTAGCTCTTCAATCTGACCACAGTCTTACAGTGTTCCAACCCTAGCCCTTCAATCTGACCACAGTCTCACAGTGTTCCAACCCTAGCCCTTCAATCTGACCACAGTCTAACAGTGTTCCAACCCTAGCCCTTCAATCTGACCACAGTCTAACAGTGTTCCAACCCTAGCCCTTCAATCTGATCACAGTCTCACAGTGTTCCAACCCAAGCTCTTCAATCTGACCACAGTCTCACAGTGTTCCAACCCTAGCCCTTCAATCTGACCACAGTCTAACAGTGTTCCAACCCTAGTCCTTCAATCTGACCACAGTCTAACAGTGTTCCAACCCTAGTCCTTCAATCTGACCACAGTCTAACAGTGTTCCAACCCTAGTCCTTCAATCTGACCACAGTGTAACAGTGTTCCAACCCTAGTCCTTCAATCTGACCACAGTCTTACAGTGTTCCAACCCTAGTCCTTCAATCTGACCACAGTGTAACAGTGTTCCAACCCTAGTCCTTCAATCTGACCACAGTCTAACAGTGTTCCAACCCTAGTCCTTCAATCTGACCACAGTCTAACAGTGTTCCAACCCTAGACCTTCAATCTGACCACAGTCTAACAGTGTTCCAACCCTAGTCCTTCAATCTGACCACAGTCTAACAGTGTTCCAACCCTAGTCCTTCAATCTGACCACAGTCTAACAGTGTTCCAACCCTAGCCCTTCAATCTGACCACAGTCTAACAGTGTTCCAACCCTAGTCCTTCAATCTGACCACAGTCTAACAGTGTTCCAACCCTAGCCCTTCAATCTGACCACAGTCTAACAGTGTTCCAACCCTAGACCTTCAATCTGACCACAGTCTAACAGTGTTCCAACCCTAGTCCTTCAATCTGACCACAGTCTAACAGTGTTCCAACCCTAGTCCTTCAATCTGACCACAGTGTAACAGTGTTCCAACCCTAGCTCTTCAATCTGACCACAGTCTCACAGTGTTCCAACCCTAGCCCTTCAATCTGACCACAGTCTCACAGTGTTCCAACCCTAGCCCTTCAATCTGACCACAGTGTAACAGTGTTCCAACCCTAGCTCTTCAATCTGACCACAGTCTCACAGTGTTCCAACCCTAGCCCTTCAATCTGACCACAGTCTAACAGTGTTCCAACCCTAGTCCTTCAATCTGACCACAGTCTAACAGTGTTCCAACCCTAGCCCTTCAATCTGACCACAGTCTAACAGTGTTCCAACCCTAGCTCTTCAATCTGACCACAGTCTCACAGTGTTCCAACCCTAGCCCTTCAATCTGACCACAGTCTAACAGTGTTCCAACCCTAGTCCTTCAATCTGACCACAGTCTTACAGTGTTCCAACCCTAGTCCTTCAATCTGACCACAGTGTAACAGTGTTCCAACCCTAGCTCTTCAATCTGACCACAGTCTCACAGTGTTCCAACCCTAGCCCTTCAATCTGACCACAGTCTAACAGTGTTCCAACCCTAGCCCTTCAATCTGACCACAGTCTAACAGTGTTCCAACCCTAGCCCTTCAATCTGACCACAGTCTCACAGTGTTCCAACCCTAGCCCTTCAATCTGACCACAGTCTAACAGTGTTCCAACCCTAGCCCTTCAATGACCACTAACACCACCCAGTCTCACAGTGTTCCAACCCTAGCCCTTCAATCTGACCACAGTCTCACAGTGTTCCAACCCTAGCCCTTCAATCTGACCACAGTCTAACAGTGTTCCAACCCTTCCAACCCTAGTCCTTCAATCTGACCACAGTCTAACAGTGTTCCAACCCTAGCCCTTCAATCTGACCACAGTCTAACAGTGTTCCAACCCTAGACCTTCAATCTGACAACAGTCTAACAGTGTTCCAACCCTAGTCCTAACCATACCACAGTCTAACAGTGTTCCAACCCTAGTCCTTCAAACCACAGTGAACAGTGTTCCAATCCAGTCCTTCAATCTGACCACAGTGATATATATATGACCACAGTCTAACAGTGTTCCAACCCTAGACCTTCAATCTGACAACAGTCTAACAGTGTTCCAACCCTAGTCCTAACCATACCACAGTCTAACAGTGTTCCAACCCTAGTCCTAACCTTACCACAGTCTAACAGTGTTCCAATCCTAGTCCTTCAATCTGACCACAGTCTTACAGTGTTCCAACCCTAGTCCTTCAATCTGACCACAGTGTAACAGTGTTCCAACCCTAGTCCTTCAATCTGACCACAGTCTATTAGTGTTCCAACCCTAGTCCTAACTTATCACAGTCCTACAGTGTTCCAACCCTAGTCCTAATCTTACCACAGTCTTAACAGTGTTCCCACCCTAGTCCTAACCTTACCATAGCCTCACAGTGTTCTGACATTGTTTAAACCCTCACCTGTAGAGATATTTGGGCGTGGTGTGTTAGGTAGACTTCCAACACAATGGAGACTTGTAGTACTTGTACTTTTATCCTGTTTTTTGTCATCAAACACTTCCTCAGATATTGCTTCATCAATATTGCGAGGATTTTGGTTGTGTTGACGATGCAATGGCGTCAAGACTTTTTCTAGCATCTCGGACATCATTTGGAAACTGGGGTCCACAATAAAGTCAATGAAACCTGCAATTTAAAAATCAGCATTGTTAGTACTTTTTAAACTCTTTTGGTTTTTCCCATTTCTCTCTTTGTTACAATTCAACAATGAAATCAGTTTACATGATATATATATACAGTGCTGTGTTGATTGACAGGAGACATATACGGTCACCCTGTATAAATAGATAAGGGTAGACTTACCAGTCCTAGTTCCTTCTCACGGTCACCCTGTATAAATAGATAAGGGTATGTTGCTTACTTATAAAAGCTGTGACAGAGATAAATAAAGGGTGTGACAGGGACATATAAAGAGTGTGACAGAAACAAACAAAGGGTATGACAGAAACAAATAAAGGTTGTGAAAGAGACAAATAAAGGGTGTGACAGGCAAATAAAGGGTGTAACAGAGACAAATAAAGGGTGTGACAGAGACATACAAAGGGTGTGACAGAGACATACAAAGGGTGTGACAGGCAAATAAAGGGTGTAACAGAGACATATAAAGGATGTGACAGAGACAAATAAAGGGTGTGACAGGCAAATAAAGGGTGTAACAGAGACAAATAAAGGTTGTGAAAGAGACAAATAAAGGGTGTGACAGAGACAAATAAAGAGTGTGACAGAGACAAATAAAGGTTGTGACAGAGACAAATAAAGGGTGTGACAGAGACATACAAAGGGTGTGACAGACAAATAATGAGTGTGACAGAGACATACAAAGGGTGTGACAGAGACATACAAAGAGTGTGACAGGGACATATAAAGGGTGTGACAGAGACATACAAAAGGTTTGACAGAGACATACAAAAGTGTGACAGAGACATACAAAGGGTGTGACAGGGACAAATAAAGAGTGTGACAGAGACAAATAAAGGTTGTGAAAGAGACAAATAAAGGGTGTGACAGGCAAATAAAGGGTGTAACAGAGACAAATAAAGAGTGTGACAGAGACAAATAAAGGTTGTGACAGAGACAAATAAAGGGTGTGACAGACAAATAATGAGTGTGACAGAGACATACAAAGGGTGTGACAGAGACATACAAAGAGTGTGACAGGGACATATAAAGGGTGTGACAGGGAGATATAAAGGGTGTGACAGAGACATACAAAAGGTTTGACAGAGACATATAAAAGTGTGACAGAAACAGACAAAGGATGTGACAGGGACAAATAAAGGGTGTGACAGGGACAAATAAAGAATGTAACAGGGACAAATAATGAGTGTGACAGAGACATAAAAAGGGTGTGACAGAGACATACAAAGGGTTTGACAGAGACAAATAAAGGGTGTGACAGAGACATACAAAGGTTGTGACAGACAAATAAAGGGTGTGACAGGGACAAATAATGAGTGTGACAGACAAATTAAGGCTTTGACAGACAAATTAAGGATGACAAAGTGACATATAAAGGCTGTGACAGGGATATATAAATTCTGTGACTGAGACAAATAAAGAATGTGACAGAAACAATAGAGGATGTGACACAGGCATATATAGGCTGTGTCAGAGCCAACAATGGCTGACAGAGAGAAATAAACAATGTAGCAGAGACATGAATGATGCCAGATATAAATATGATGACTACAACAGAGATATATAATGGATGCTATTTTCCATTCCTTGCTATTTTAAAGAATAGTTTGAATTGGAAACAAGAGGCCCAAAAGGCCTGTACTGCTCACCTGAAATTCAATGTTGATAAAAAATAGGATTGGTGTTAATATCATAAATATATTGACCTGTCACACCATTGTGATTAACAGTGGGTACACCCAATGAATTTTCGTCAATTTCCATGACAAACGACTTCTAAATCTCAAATGTCAAAAGCAGTGACAGGTAAATGTCATTTCTTTTTCTCTCAAAGTTTGTTGGGCTTTGACCTAGAAATACCTATCCACCAAAAAATCAAGCTTCTGAGCCTTTTGGTTCGTCAGAAGTAATCGTTTTAAGGCTTTAACAAATTTGACCTCTATGACCTTGACATTTGCTCTGCTGAGAAGTTGTTTAAATAGAAAAGTTGACACCAGATGACAGAGGACCACACAGTGGAGGCTGTGCTATGGCATAAGGGGACTTGGCCAGTTGAGCTAAACATATCTCCTTCCGGTTTATAATAAATGCCCCTAATATTTATTATTGCAAAAGTCCGACACAAAGGTTCAGAGATTATTTGAAGTGATAACATGAGATTCAAGAGCAATTTTGGCACCATCATTGTTTTATCATTATTTTTTCTATGAAATTGGCCTTTTCCCAATCATTTCTCTTTCTGTTATTCCATACTATGAAATCTAAGATAATCTAAAAATTGTGATAATAATCTTTTAAAACTGTAAACCATTTCACTTTTCTCATCAGTCTATAAATTGAAAGAGCACAGGTATGTCTGATCTTATGTACAGTTTGTATGTACACATACAGGTAAGTCTGATCTTATGTACAGTATGTATGTACACATACAGGTAAGTCTGATGTTATGTACAGTATGTATGTACACATACAGGTAAGTCTGATGTTATGTACAGTATGTACACATACAGGTAAGTCTGATCTTATGTACAGTATGTATGTACACATACAGGTAAGTCTGATCTTATGTACAGTATGTATGTACACATACAGGTAAGTCTGATCTTATGTACAGTATGTATGTACACATACAGGTAAGTCTGATGTTATGTACAGTATGTACACATACAGGTAAGTCTGATCTTATGTACAGTATGTATGTACACATACAGGTAAATCTGATCTTATGTATAGTATATATGTACACATACAGGTAAGTTTGATCCATGTACAGTATGTATGTACACATACAGGTAAGTCTGATCTATGTACAGTATGTATGTACACATACAGGTATATCTAATCTATGTACAGTATGTATGTACACATACAGGTAAATCTGATCTTATGTATAGTATATATGTACACATACAGGTAAATCTGATCTTATGTATAGTATATATGTACACATACAGGTAAGTCTGATGTTATGTACAGTATGTATGTACACATACAGGTAAGTCTGATGTTATGTACAGTATGTATGTACACATACAGGTATATCTAATCTATGTACAGTATGTATGTACACATACAGGTAAGTCTGATGTTATGTACAAAGTTTAGTACTTTATTAAGAGCTTTGTTGTTTGCATAAGGGAAAAAGAAACAAAATTTGTTTTCTTTTTGAATAATGTCTTTAAATGTAAGGATTTATCGGAGAAATAAAAATTGTACCATTTCTTACCTGTCTGAAAAACTCCTCCAGTAGGAGTTCTGTCCAGCGCTGGTGAAGTGACCAATCTTTGGCTGGATGACTGATGTCTGCACAGTGTAGGACGAGGGATAAAGCTTTGGATTTGTCAATACTGTAAACACAAGCAATTTTGCAGATTACTTATACAAAATAATGTTTTGCACAAAGATCATCCAATGTTTAGTGGACTGTGTAAATAATCCTACCAGGTCTAGCTCAGTTTGTGTTGACAAAGGAAGATATTTCTGATTCAGAACAAGTGGCCATTGAGAAATGCTATTTGCACATGGAGAGAAGTTTTACTTTCATGAAATTCACAATTTTGGTAAAGCACCTTAAGACACTTCTACCAATGAAGAGTATTTGATTCTACTAAATCTAGATTCTGATATGATTAAGTCTGAAGAAGAACATTGTTGAGATTTTGGCTAATTTGACCCCTTTTAGTCTTGCCCTTCAGGTCCATGGGATGAGGCCATAAATTTCATAATTTTGGTTCATCTGGGGCATCTGCAGTTTCCTACAGAATTTCATAAAAATAAGTCAAGTGGTTTTGAAATAAATGTAAGTTAAACGTGGAAAAGTTTTTAGATGGCATACAGCTCACGATGAAAGGTGGATAGTAATACTGGTCATCCTGACTGTTTTGGTCAGATGATGCAAAACAATTTCTCCCGACAAAGTTAACTTTATATTGATCCAAAGAAAAGATTATCATTAAAGAAATTCAAACACAAAATGGCAACAAATTCAGTAACTATTTCAGTACATTCCACTTAGTATCTGTCATCATAGTTTTCTCTTTATGATCTATAACATTATTTTTTAATGGTGTTGTTCATTTGTTTTTACTATAAATTGTATAAAGTGATTAATAAGTTGATTTTTTTTTTGTAAAAATGCTTATATCATGAATTATAATTATCAAAATTCCAGATACTAAGCAGAATGTAACAACATAACAAAAATAAATTGGAAAAAAAACAAACAGAACTTTATTCATACCAAAACTGCAGAAGTATATCGCTGAAATGGGAATTTATATAATAGCAAACAAAATCCATTTACATGTGCTTGATGTTATACGTTGATATTTTTATAGCTACTGAATCTGAAGTCCTTTAAAAATATTAACACTAGAACTGTGTAAAACTGTCAGACAGGATTTGACAGAGTGTTGACTTAGAAAGGCACCCGTTTTAGTTTACTGGTTTCGCTATCAACTCATTTTAAATTTGTGTTATAGATTTTGATTCTGGTGACATGTGTGTATTTTCGTTGTTGTAAACACTAACAACTTTCTGATAACCTAAACATCAACTTGTACTCACTTTTCTGGCATTGCCATCAGATTCTTCATATTCTTGATCTGTTGAAAATGGAAAGACATGTCTGTGGCTAGTACCATGTCAATGACCAGATTTCGGAACTCCCTGTAAACATAAACTAGAGTTACTTCCCTGTAAACATAAACTAGAGTTATTTCTCTGTAAACATAAACTAGATTTATTTCCCTGTAAACATAAACTAGAGTTATTTCTCTGTAAACATAAACTAGAGTTATTTCCCTGTAAACATAAATAGACTTACTTTCCTGTAAACATAAACTAGAGTTACTTCCCTGTAAACATAAACTAGATTTATTTCCCTGTAAACATAAACTAGAGTTACTTCCCTGTAAACATAAATTGGATTTATTTTTCTGTAAACATAAACTAGAGTTACTTCCCTGTAAACATAAACTAGATTTATTTCCCTGTAGACATAAACTAGAGTTATATCCCTGTAAACATGAACAAGATTTATTTCTCATTAAACATATTTCTGAACTCCCTGTAACCATGAACAAGATTTATTCCTCATTAAACATATTTCTGAACTCCCTGTAACCATGAATAAGAGTCATTCCCCAGTAAACATATTTTGGAGCTCCATGTAAACATAAACAAGATTTGTTCTCCAGTTAACCAATTTCTGAACTAGCTGTAATTATATGAACAAGGTTCATGACTAGTAGCAATTACAGATGATGGTGACTGGATGGAGGACAGATGCTGTGGAATTCCTATAACTTTTTGAGAAGGAAAAAGGAAAATTTTCTAGACTATCTGTAAATCTTGATAAATGTTACAATGAATTTTCTATTGAAAAGGTCTCTGATCTCCCTGTAAAATTTAACACCAAGATTTATTCAACAAAGATAAAATTTCTGGGCTGTATGTAAACATTTATAATAGCAAGAGCTACTGTTCATCAGTAAGTAATATCCTGTATGCATGAAGTGTTAATGGTATAATCTTGCATGGTCAGCGACAATCCTGTATGTATTGAGTTCTACCTGTATGATCTTGGTCATAGAACCCTGTATGTATTGAGTTCTACCTGTATGACCTTGGTCATAGAACCCTGTATGTATTGAGTGCAACCAGTATGACCTTGGTCAGAGAGCCCTGTATGTATTGAGTGTTACCCATATGACCTTGGTCACACTATCCTGTATATATTGAGTGCTACCTGTATGACCTTGGTCAGAGAACCCTGTATGTATTGAGTGCTACCCGTATGACCTTGGTCAGACAAACCTGAACTCCTCGCGGCTGAGGTTGGAAACAATATTGCATTCATCAGTTTTCATCATTCTGAAGGAGGCACTGATATGGTGATTCTCTAAAACAGCTCTGTCATTGTATAATATTGCGACTTCGGACCTGTTAAAAGCAATGCACATCAGATTTAATATTTCATACATAAATAGCAGTTATATTAAAAGCAGTAAGCAGAAGATCAAACACATATACTCTCTCCTTTTTTACTTCATATATAAATTGTTGCGATATTAATCTATGAAGGGTTTCATGAGATATCTCGTATCTAATACAGTTAGAGGTAATACAGAGATGTAGACAGCTGTGACTTACAGTTAGAGATAATATAGAGATGTAGACAGAGCTGTGACTATTACAGTTAGAGATAATACAGAGATGTAGACAGCTGTGACTTACAGTTAGAGATCATACAGAGATGTAGACAGAGCTGTGACTTACATTTAGAGATCATACAGAGATGTGGACAGCTGTGACTTACAGTTAGAGATAATATAGAGATGTAGACAGAGCTGTGACTATTACAGTTAGAGATAATACAGAGATGTAGACAGCTGTGACTTACAGTTAGAGATAATATAGAGATGTAGACAGCTGTGACTTTTACAGTTAGAGATAATATAGAAATGTAGACAGCTGTGACTTACAGTTAGAGACAATACAGAGATGTAGACAGTAGTGACTTTTACAGTTAGAGATAATATAGAAATGTAGACAGCTGTGACTTACAGTTAGAGACAATACAGAGATGTAGACAGTGGTGACTTTTACAGTTAGATATAATATAGAAATGTAGACAGCTGTGACTTACAGTAAGAGATAATACAGAGATGTAGACAACTGTGACTTAGAGTTAGAGATAAAACAGAGATGTACACAGCTGCGACTTACAGTTAGAGATAATACAGAGATGTAGACAGCTGTGACTTATACAGTTAGAGATAATACAGAGTTGTAGACAGAGCTGTGACTTACAGTTAGAGATAATACAGAGATGTAGACAGTAGTGACTTACAGTTAGAGATAATACAGAGATGTAGACAGCTGTGACTTACAGTTAGAGATAATATAGAGATGTAGACAGCTGTGACTTTCACAGTTAGAGATAATATAGAGATGTAGACAACTGTGACTTTTACAGTTAGAGATAATATAGAGATGTAGACAGCTGTGACTTTTACAGTTAGAGATAATATAGAGATGTAGACAGCTGTAACTTTTACAATTAGGAAGAAACGTTTGTGACTCACCCTGTCATTATGTGGAAGTTATTGGTTGTTCCAGTATGTTCATAATCATGTATTAATGCAGCTATAATTGTAGCAAACACCTCTAAGTCTGTCAACCAGTGCTGTGGAGAAAAGAATACATGTCATTAATTGTCTTCACACGTAAATATACCATTATTAGAATGTTTGTTCATTCTCTACAGGTAAAATACAAAGGTCACACTGTTAGAGACAATATAGAGATGTAGACAGCTGTAAAATACAAAGGTCACACTGTTTGTTCATTCATTACAGTGTAAAATACAAAGGTCACACTGTTTGGTCATTCTCTACAGGTAAAATACAAAGGTCACACTGTTTGGCCCTTCTCTACAGGTAAAATACAAAGGTCACACTGTTTGGTCATTCTCTACAGGTAAAATACAAAGGTCACACTGTTTGGTCATTCTCTACAGGTAAAATACAAAGGTCACACTGTTTGGTCATTCTCTACAGGTAAATATACAAAGGTCACACTGTTTGGCCATTCTCTACAGGTAAAATACAAAGGTCACACTGTTTGGTCATTCTCTACAGGTAAATATACAAAGGTCACACTGTTTGGCCATTCTCTACAGGTAAAATACAAAGGTCACAAGGTATGGCCATTCTCTACAGGTAAAATACAAAGGTCACAAGGTATGGCCATTCTCTACAGGTAAAATACAAAGGTCACACTGTTTGGCCATTCTCTACAGGTAAAATACAAAGGTCACAATATATAGTCTTTCTGCAAGGATAAAGATACAAAATTCACCTGGTTTCCTTTCTAGAAAGTCATCTCTTTACTCTGTGTGTCTGTAGACACTATTCAGCTGGTGTACTTTCTAGAAAGTCATCCCTCTCCCCCTGTTTTCAATAAATACAATTCAGCTGGTTTACTTTATAGAGAGTGATCTCTCTCGCCCTGTGTGTTGATCTGTTTACACTCACCGCTAATTTGCTCTGTGACAGGACGAAATGCACTGTCTGTGCGACATCTGCCCCATGTAGGAGGTTGTGGTAAGGATTCTTGTATTTACTGTAGCCCTGCTCTATTGCCAACAGGAAAGAATCCAAAACACTTGTGCTGATTTTAAACTTTGATATTAAATCATATTTTTGCAAAAGTTCATAACCCACAAATTTCAAGGCATGTCCGTCGGCGGCTGTATTTACCGCAAACACATCAAAAGACCACTCATCAAGTTGCTGCAATTCAAATAAAAACTTTATAAGAATATTAAAATATTAAACAATATGTAAATTATACTTACGTGATCTATTCTGAACAATTAAACAGCTAGCTCTGTCAATATTGATAAATTATCAGAATTAGACTGACTTTGGAGTGACATTTGTATATGGGTAAGAGAATACGATGTCATAGGAGTTGACATCACCATTGAACCATGTAAGAAAGATTTATTGACCTTGTCTATCATGGTGGATTTCAATTTCAATTTAGGAACATGACTTTATTTACTTGGATTTACCAAGATTTACATGGTGGGTGTCGTCATTCCCTTATTCTTCTTTTCAAGTGACTAACCTTTAGTAGCTGTAGTACGTGTGGTGGGACATGGAGACCAGCTGAACTAGACAGGCGACGATATATCCTGTTGAAATAAAAAAATAGATGTTTTATAATTAAAAAGGTACTTTCCCATATCTTCTTGTCTTTGCTCTGTTTTTGCTCTTAAGTACAAGAAATTTGAGAAAAATCTGACCAGTGCATTTGAGAACATTGATAACTATCATCTTTCAAAGTCAAAATCCAAATGGACACCTGTCTGCCAATTTATTTTTCTTATTAGTTACAAAATCAGTAGGGCATAACATGAGATCAAGGGTAAACTACATATGAAATTTGAGAAAACTTCATTAATTCAGAGACAAATTTTCATTGTCAAAATCAAAGATGGCTATGTTTCAGTCATCTTGTTTTCCTCATCAATCTCAAAATCAACAAGAGATCCCAGTGGGATCTTGGCGTCCACCATTTGAGGATCTGTTTTCAGTTCTTGAAGATTTGCTTATTTTTTTTTTTTTGTTACAGGTGTTGTAAATGTTCATGAACTGGTCTTCATTGAATGTACTCAATGACTGCACAAGATATTTTCATTAAGCGCCTATTAGCAAATATCATTTGAAAAAGATCCCAAAGTATTATTAGATAGAGTCAGTTACAGGTGGATAATGGACATGGTCTTGGATCAATATGATAGAATATCAAAGAAAATATGCTTGTGCTGTATTACTGTCGACATCCAAAATGGCTGCCTGTGGGCCACCTTGATTTCAAATCAGTCCAGAAAAGGTACAATGCACAACTAGGGACCAAGAGAAACCAATATCTATGAAATATCAGAAGGATCCATCCAGTACTTCCTCAGAAATAGCGGTAACAAGATTTTACTCTCAAAATCCAAGATGGCCATCTGTGGGCCATCTTGAATTCGAATCAGTCCAAAAAAGGTACATTGCACAACTAGGGACCAAGGGGAAGCTCCCTATGAAATTTGAGAAAGATCCATCAAGTACTTTCCAAGAAATAGCGGTAACAAACTTTAACCTCAAAACTCCAAGATGGCCGTCTGTCGGCTATCTTGAATTCGAATCAGTCCAAAAAAGGTACAATGCACAACTAGGGACCAAGGGGAAGCTCCCTATGAAATTTGAGAAAGATCCATCAAGTACTTTCCAAGAAATAGCGGTAACAAACTTTAACCTCCAAACTCCAAGATGGCCACCTGTCGGCCATCTTGAATTTGAATCAGTCCAAAAAAGGTACAATGCACAACTAGGGACCAAGGGAAACCTGCATATGAAATTTGAGAAAGATCCATCCTTTCCAAGAAATGCATATGAAATTTGTCCAAAAAGGTACAAGACTAGGGACCAAGGGGAACCTGCATATGAAATTTGAGAAAGATCCATCCAGTGCTTTCCCAGAAAAAGCGGTAGCAGGGGGATTTGAATAACCCACCATCTGATGATGGTGGGCTAAAAGTCCTCAACTCGGTACCAAGGGAAACCAAGTGAAATATGTTTGAGAAAGCTTGCTCTAATAGCGCCGATGAAAAAGGGATAACAAATTTTCATTGTCAAAATCCAAGATGGCTACCGTTCAGCCATTTTATTTTCATGATCAGTCCAATAAAAATCAATAAGGGCCTCAACTAGGGACCATGAAAGGAAATTTGAAATTTGAAGAAAATTTGTCCGTTACTTCACAAGAATATTAATGATGATAACAAGAATTGTTCATGGATGTACAGATGGACGGATGAAGACAGATAATGCATGGACGTAAAGCCATCATTTAACGATGGTTGGGTAAATAAATATTGATTGCTAAAAAACGATGATGTCCATATAGAATTATATGTAGAACACATTTAAAAACAATCTAAATAGCTCAAGGGTTATGAAAAAAGATATAAGCGCACTATAAAAGCTTTATTCACTTATAAAGATACCAGTGAGACAGTTTAGTTGTAACGTGAAGGCAAACCACATTCTATTTATACACATATTCAATGACTGCATGCTACTGTCATTACTCATTATTTCTTTAAGGACTAGTATTGAGCCATAAATTGCAACAAGCGACTTTTTTCTCGGGGATTATTTCAGCGAGCATTAAAGCTCCCTCTGGGCATGAATGTCAGAATCTGCAATTTTTTTGTCCTAAATTGTTATTTGTCATGCAAATAGACCCCAGCAGATAACAAAGTTGTTTTGCAAGCTTGTCAGAGCTTGCCTCCCACTATCATCATTTGTGAAACTGTATTCCTATATCATACAGGTATAAGTTTAACTTGTATAACAAAAGTCTGGCTGTGTTAAGAATACTGGTGACGATGGAACCAGTGTGGTAGAAGTAGACACTAAAATGTCTCCCACTGATCTATGCTTCGTGTTAGATGTTTGCATGTGGCGCCAATCCAAATATGGTAATGATGTCATCACAGTGAAAAACCTAAACTGTTTATTCAACAATAATTCCATGAGATTTTTAGTCTGGAAATAGATTCAAACATGAAAGATATAATATCTTTTTCCAGGAAAAGAAGCATGAAAATATCTAGCATACATGTGCTCACATCACAAAGATTCTCTATTATTAGACCAGCTCCATCATTATCTGTCTTGTAGAGACTCCACTGTCTTTACAACATCTAAATATAATCACAGTTGCTTAACAACACTCAAATTATCATTATACTGATAAAAAAAATATCCCAGGTTTTTGTCCATCTAAGCAAAAATCTGGAGAAGTCAAAAGAAATGTCAGAAAGCTTTTTGTATCACGATTCTGAATAAAGGGATAGATGAAAAGCAAAACAATAATTCTTAGAACAATTTTATCTTGTGCATAAATATCTAAACAGTTTGTAAAGTCTTGGAAGTCATTCCTATGTCAGCCTTGGATGTTGTTTCTGTGTTAGCCTTGGATGTTGTTCCTGTCTCAGCCTTGGATGTTGTTCCTGTGTCAGCCATGGATGTTGTTCCGGTGTCAGACTTGGATGTTGTTCCTGTGTCAGACTTGGATGTTGTTCCTGTGTCAGACTTGGATGTTGTTCCTGTGTCAGCCTTGGATGTTGTTCCTGTGTCAGCCTTGGATGTTGTTTCTGTGTCAGCCTTGGATGTTGTAGCTTTGGATGTTGTTCCTGTGTCAGCCTTGGGTGTTGTTTCTGTCTCAGCCTTGGATGTTGTTCCTGTGTCAGCCTTGGATGTTGTTTCTGTGTCAGTCTTGGATGTTGTTCCTGTGTCAGCCTTGGATGTTGTTTCTGTGTCAGCCTTGGATGTTGTTTCTGTGTCAGCCTTGGATGTTGTAGCCTTGGATGTTGTTCCTGTGTCAGACTTGGATGCTGTTCCTGTGTCAGCGTTGGATGTTGTTCCTGTGTCAGCCTTGGATGTTGTTTCTGTGTCAGCCTTGGATGTTGTAGCCTTGGATGTTGTTCCTGTGTCAGCCTTGGGTGTTGTTCCTGTCTCAGCGTTGGATGTTGTTCCTGTGTCAGCGTTGGATGTTGTTCCTGTGTCAGCCTTGGATGTTGTTTCTGTGTCAGCCATGGGTGTTGTTCCTGTCTCATCCTTGGATGTTGTTCCTGTGTCAGCCTTGGATGTCGTTCCTGTATCAGACTTGGATGTTGTTCCTTGTCAGCGTTGGATGTTGTTCCTCTGTCAGCCTTGGATGTTGTTTCTGTGTCAGCCTTGGATGTTGTTTCTGTGTTAGCCTTGGATGTTGTTCCTGTCTCAGCCTTGGATGTTGTTCCTGTCTCATCCTTGGATGTTGTTCCTGTGTCAGACTTGGATGTTGTTCCTGTGTCAGACTTGGATGTTGTTCCTGTGTCAGACTTGGATGTTGTTCCTGTGTCAGCCTTGGATGTTGTTCCTGTGTCAGCCTTGGATGTTGTTTCTGTGTCAGCCTTGGATGTTGTAGCTTTGGATGTTGGTCCTGTGTCAGCCTTGGGTGTTGTTTCTGTCTCAGCCTTGGATGTTGTTCCTGTGTCAGCCTTGGATGTTGTTCCTGTGTCAGACTTGGATGTTGTTCCTGTGTCAGCCTTGGATGTTGTTCCTGTGTCAGCCTTGGATGTTGTTTCTGTGTCAGCCTTGGATGTTGTAGCTTTGGATGTTGGTCCTGTGTCAGCCTTGGGTGTTGTTTCTGTCTCAGCCTTGGATGTTGTTCCTGTGTCAGCCTTGGATGTTGTTTCTGTGTCAGTCTTGGATGTTGTTCCTGTGTCAGCCTTGGATGTTGTTCCTGTGTCAGCCTTGGATGTTGTTTCTGTGTCAGCCTTGGATGTTGTAGCCTTGGATGTTGTTCCTGTGTCAGACTTGGATGCTGTTCCTGTGTCAGCGTTGGATGTTGTTCCTGTGTCAGCCTTGGATGTTGTTTCTGTGTCAGCCTTTGATGTTGTTCCTATGTCAAAATTGGATGTTGTTTCTGTATCAGCCTTGGATGTTGTTCCTGTGTCACCTTGGATGTTGTTCCTATGTCAAAATTGGATGTTGTTTCTGTGTCAGCCTTGGATGTTGTTCCTATGTCAAAATTGGATGTTGTTTCTGTATCAGCCTTGGATGTTGTTCCTGTGTCACCTTGGATGTTGTTCCTATGTCAAAATTGGATGTTGTTTCTGTGTCAGCCTTGGATGTTGTTCCTGTGTCAAAATTGGATGTTGTTTCTGTGTCAGCCTTGGATGTTGTTTCTGTATCATCCTTGAATGTTGTTTCTGTGTCAGCATTGGATGTTGTTTCTGTGTCAGCCTTTGATGTTGTTCCTATGTCAGCCTTGGATGTTGTTCCTGTGTCAGCCTTGGATGATGTTCCTGTGTCTGCCTTGGATGTTGTTTCTGTGTCAGCCTTAGATGTTGTTTCTGTGTCAGCCTTTGATGTTGTTCCTATGTCAGCCTTGGATGTTGTTCCTGTGTCAGCCTTGGATGATGTTCCTGTGTCTGCCTTGGATGTTGTTTCTGTGTCAGCCTTAGATGTTGTTTCTGTGTCAGTCTTGGATGTTGTTTCTGTGTCAACCTTGGATGTTGTTCGTGTGTCAGCCTTGGATGTTGTTTCTGTGTCAGTCTTGGATGTTGTTTCTGTGTCAGCCTTGGATGTTGTTCCTGTGTTAGTCTTGGATGTTGATTCTGTGTCAGCCTTTAATGTTGTTTTTCTGTGTCAGCCTTGGATGTTGTTTCTGTATCAGCCTTTGATGTTGTTTCTGTGTTAGTCTTGGTCAGCCTTGGGTGTTGTTTCTGTGTCAAGGCTGACTGATGGATGTCAGGATTTACCTGTAGTCAGTACTGCCAACATGGCTGACTGAAGGATGTCAGGATTTACCTGTAGTCAGTACAGCCAACAAGGCTGACTGAAGGATGTCAGGATTTACCTGTAGTCAGTACTGCCAACAAGGCTGACTGAAGGATGTCAGGATTTACCTGTAGTCAGTACTGCAACAAGGCTGACTGTAGGAGGTCAGGATTTACCTGTAGTCAGTACAGCCAACAAGGCTGACTGTAGGAAGTCAGGATTTACCTGTAGTCAGTACTGCCAACAAGGTTGACTGAAGGAAGTCAGGATTTACCTGTAGTCAGTACTGCAACAAGGCTGACTGAAGGATGTCAGGATTTACCTGTAGTCAGTACTGCCAACAAGGCTGACTGAAGGAAGTCAGGATTTACCTGTAGTCAGTACTGCCAACAAGGCTGACTGAAGGATGTCAGGATTTACCTGTAGTCAGTACTGCCAACAAGGCTGACTGTAGGATGTCAGGATTTACCTGTAGTCAGTACTGCCAACAAGACTGACTGTAGGATGTCAGGATTTACCTGTAATGAGCATTGGTACCAAACCTGGATAAAAATTAGGTCCTAATGTATCAGATGAGTGTCACCATGTCTTTTGTTTCTACACAATCTGTTTTGCTCTGACATTGTGGCTCAACATTCTGTTCTACCTGATTGCTTTATGTGTGTGATGGCTTCATTTTATTTTTTAAAAAAATGTGGAACCAAACTTTCCTCTAAAATGGATCCAGCTGAGACGCTGATACTTATATTGTTGAATTAAATCAGAAACGTAAAATAATTATCAAACTCGTCAAAGTTATTGGGCTTTTGTAGCGATACCTGAGCTATTTGCATTAACAAAACAAAAAAAAATAATCTTCAAGATTTGAACACACTGAGCAACTGTGAAGTAGAGAAGTAGAAAACAGTTTTGTTTTTGTACATTGCATGCTCCTCATACAAAGCTATACTCACCTATCAACCATAATACCAGCTCGAATTGCATGTGCCACGCTGCGGAACTTGGGTTTGTCATCACCACGCCGTTTGATGTTGCTCATGGAACGCGTGAATGTGAGTGCTAACCAATCCCGGACCTCACTTGGCACAGCATCTGGCTCCACCTCACTGAGTTCATCATCATCATCACACAGGCGCCTGCATGGTGAGAGATAGAAAGGCATTATTTCATTCCATAGTGAAATTATGACAAATAGAAAATGTTGTGAAAAGAACGGGAAAACAATTGATCACTGATTTGTAAAAATTTACCAATATAACAATATTACAGATTGCAGGAGACCAGTTATTATTGAACTCTCATTCATCCTTGTCTTATTACAAAGTCGTCTCACAACTATGGCCACAGATTGCTGGTTAATCTCTCAACCATGGCAACAGATTGCTGGTTAATCTCACAACCATGGCAACAGATTGCTGGTTAATCTCACAACCATGGCAACAGATTGCTGGTTAATCTCACAACCATGGCCACAGATTGCTGGTTAATCTCACAACCATGGCAACAGATTGCTGGTTAATCTCACAACCATGGCCACAGATTGCTGGTTAATGTCACAACCATGGCAACAGATTGCTGGTTAATCCCATGGCCACACACTAGTAGTTAATTTCACAACCATGGCCATAGATTACTGGCTTATCTCACAATCATGGCCACAGATTGCTGGTTAATGTCACAACCATGGCAACAGATTGCTGGTTACTCTCACAACCATTTCCACAGATTGCTGGTTAATCTCACAACCATGGCAACAGATTACTGGCTAAACTCACAACCATGGCAACAGATTACTGGCTAATCTCACAACCATGGCAACAGATTGCTGGTTAATCTCACAACCATGGCAACAGATTACTGGCTAATCTCACAACCATGGCAACCGATTGCTGGTTAATCTCACAACCATGGCAACAGATTACTGGCTAGTCTCACAATCATGAACACAGTTTACTGGTTAATCTCACAAATCTCACAACCATGACCACAGACTATTGTTTGATCAGAAAACCATGACCACAGTTTACTGGCTTAAGCCTCAAGACAATCACTGCAGAAACCTCTAATGAAGCTGTACCGCAGGGTCACATAATATTACTGCTGTGGTTTTCAAATGTATCTATCAAAACAGAATGGCTTCATTAAAAAATTGATAAGGTTTACATTGTTGTTTTTTTAATGCTTTTAATTCACAGCATATACAGAAATGCTGTCTGCATTGTATTCACTGTTCCATCCATCGAGGCCATTTGTCCTGGAGATGTGCAGTATGTTAACACTTCTGATAAAATTTACTGCTACACTCTGTATCTAGCTGTTGCAATAATTCAGAAATATGAGTCATGTCGCCTAATGTCAGCATATGTCAATTTGATTTGATTTTTTTTAGGATCACATCATTTTTTTGAGTGCCGCTAATCTAGCTCACCTTATGAAATGGTAGCTAGTAAAAAGATCTCTAAATATTGTTGGTATGGAGGGAGAGGTGTCGCCAGACAGAAATTACACATTTACAGATAGACATTGGATCCTTTCAGTGTTGGGTCAGGTAAAAGCTTTAGGGTTATACAATAACTAGATATTGTGTATTGTATTAAAATAATTGTTGCTCCAGTGAAATGTTGCCAATTAATATTTTGAAACTGAACTATATGGGATTATGATAATCTATTACAAGTTATAACAAGTAATTCACAGGTATAGTATTTTCAAAGCAATAAATTGATTGATATCCATATGTAAAAATCAATATATCATAAAAACGAATTGTTAATTACAAGTTCAACATTTAAATTTTTGCGAGTGCTTGTCGCATCCTGTCATTCCAAGTTCACAGTGTCAGATGATCAACATGCTTTTACACTTTGTTGAGGCACTAATAACAGTGAAACTGCGTATTTTTTTCTTTTTTTAGTGTTTTAAATTTTTCATGCTAAAAGTGCATTATAAGGCATTATTTCATTTGGCAGTGTGTGCAATAAATACTGTATTTTACAGATAATAAGCTGCAGTTTTTTTAGTGAGTGAGGCATGCTGCTTATATACCAGAGCTACTTATATGTGGATGAAAAAAATTGGCAGAATTTTCGGTAATCATATAGAACTAAAAGATTACCGTAAAAAGAAACAAGAGTTTTATTGAAATTGATGAATTCTTCCAGAAAATGAATTTATGGGACACAAATTTTTTACAAGTTCTGTAATTAAAGGATTGCAGGCCCTGAATTTGATACACTGCACAATGTCTTTGTATAATCAATGTATATACCAAGTTTCATTATCCTAGTTATAGTGCAAGCAAAGCTAAGCTCATGACACAAAATTTTAAACAAAGGGCAATAACTCTGTACTTAGGGGTCATGGTCCAGGGCTTCACTATGCTGTCCCTTGCCTTTGTATGACTTACGTATACATCAAACCTGACAGACACATGTATACTCAAATTAAAAACTTAATTAAACCTTAACAGACACTAAAACCTTCATCCCTGAGGGTTAGCCATTCAAGAAGGTAAACAAACATGTGGACTAGGACATTCAACTGAAAGGCTGTTTTTCAGTACATCAAAGGTGTATAGGCGCAATGTGGTACAATCCAGTGAACTTAGGTCATTAGGAATGCACATGCTAAATAACTAGAAATGATTTTCTAAAGAGTGATTGGTATGGAGACTATGGGATATATTGAACAAATGGAGGAAAGCAAAATACAACGAAAGCATATATCCTTAAGTCTGGCAGTAAATTTTTGATTTGACAAAAAAACAAAAAAAATCATCTATTTTTGTCCTGTAATTCTGACAAATCTTCACAGGTTTTTACCAGTATTAAACTTATCCAAGATCTTTTTGATGTACAGCAATTCACCAAAATTTAGTTCAAATCGATGATGAAACTGAAAGTTATTTGATGAAAATGAATAAATCATATATTCTGTTAAATTTCTGTAACTCTTGCAAATGTTGATAGAATTTGACCAATATTAAACTCATTTGAGATCATGTCGTCACTTATTTAGCGATTTCACAATTTTGATAAAACAACCGAAACTTTCCCATTTCAGAAGATTAACAGTTTCTGATATGACTGAGTCTAAGATAAAGATTGTTGAAATTTCAGCTAATTAAACCATTTTGGCACTGCTCCTCAGGGCCAAGGGTGTGGAAACCATATAATTGACAATTTTAGGTTCTTCAAATGCAATTGATGTATTCTGCGAAATTTCATCAAAATTGGTTCAGTGGTTCTAAAGGAGATATAAGAAATGTGGCAAAGTTTACAGTCACATGAGGACGGATGGTGCCAGATAGCAATAAACACTAAAGTTGTATCTCATAGATACTCAAGTCAAAATTGCACTATATATTAACGAAAGTCAAGACAAAAACTAAACTAAACCTTATCCATTCCCAAGTCAAAAATACACTAAACCTTTTCCATACTCAAGTGGAAAATACACTTAACATTATCCATACTCAAGTGGAAAATACACTTAACATTATCCATACTCAAGTGGAAAATACACTTAACATTATCCATACTCAAGTGGAAATTACACTAAACCTTTCCATACTCAAGTGAAAAATAAAGTAAACATTATCCATACTCAAGTGAAAAATACACTTAACATTTTCCATACTCAAGTTAAAAATACACTTAACATTATCCATACTCAAGTGAAAAATACACTTAACATTATCCATACTCAAGTGGAAAATACACTTAACATTATCCATACTCAAGTGAAAAATACACTTAACATTATCCATACTCAAGTGAAAAATACACTAAACCTTATAGATACTCCAGACAAAAATACATCATATCTTACTGATACTCCTGTCAAAAATGTAAATCCCATTGATACTCATGTAAATAATTAATTTTAACTCTATTGATACTCAAGTCAATACCTAGTTTTAACCTTATATAGATACTCATGTCAATAATTAATTTAACCTTATATAGATACTCATGTCAACCTTATATAGATACTCATGTCAACCTTATATAGATACTCATGTCAATAATTAATTTAACCTTATATAGATACTCATGTCAACCTTATATAGATACTCATGTCAATAATTAATTTTAACCTTATATAGATACTTTCAACCTTATATAGATACTCATGTCAATAATTAATTTAACCTTATATAGATACTCATGTCAATAATTAATTTAACCTTATATAGATACTCATGTCAACCTTATATAGATACTCAGATCAATAATTAATTTTAACCTTATATAGATACTCATGTCAATAATTAATTTAACCTTATATAGATACTCATGTCAACCTTATATAGATACTCATGTCAACCTTATATAGATACTCATGTCAACCTTATATAGATACTCATGTCAATAATTAATTTAACCTTATATAGATACTCATGTCAACCTTATATAGATACTCATGTCAACCTTATATAGATACTCATGTCAATAATTAATTTAACCTTATATAGATACTATGTCAACCTTATATAGATACTCATGTCAACCTTATATAGATACTCATGTCAACCTTATATAGATACTCATGTCAACCTTATATAGATACTCAGATCAATAATTAATTTTAACCTTATATAGATACTCATGTCAACCTTATATAGATACTCATGTCAATAATTAATTTAACCTTATATAGATACTCATGTCAACCTTATATAGATACTCATGTCAACCTTATATAGATACTCATGTCAACCTTATATAGATACTCATGTCAACCTTATATAGATACTCATATCAATAATTAATTTTAACCTTATATAGATACTCATGTCAACCTTATATAGATACTCATGTCAACCTTATATAGATACTCATGTCAACCTTATATAGATACTCATGTCAATAATTAATTTAACCTTATATAGATACTCATGTCAACCTTATATAGATACTCATGTCAACCTTATATAGATACTCATGTCAATAACTAGTTTTAACCTTATATAGATACTCATGTCAACCTTATATAGATACTCATGTCAACCTTATATAGATACTCATATCAATAATTAATTTTAACCTTATATAGATACTCATGTCAACCTTATATAGATACTCATGTCAACCTTATATAGATACTCATGTCAACCTTATATAGATACTCATGT